TTCATATAAACAAACTAAGGCTTTGTCTGTGCTCTTTCCATTTAAAATTAGAGGCAACCACTGCATTTTAATCATGATCCAAACAAAGATGCTGCATACATGCAACATGAGCAGTTTTTAATCTAAATTACATTGTATAATTTCGAAATTTGAAACAAAAACAGAATGGTTTGACTTCAGTTTTGTGAAACTATACATAAAAAATATCTGCATGAAACAGAAACAGCAGACGAGCTGAATGAGACGCAGATTCACTCTCTGCCAGCAGGTGGCGCTTAAAGCGTTTCCTTGGTTTCCGCTGTAAACAAAGCAGCGCTGCACTTATGAACTTTAATATGCATTATACAGAAGCAAGATGAAAAGAAAAAATACCATTGAAAGACAGTAAGCTCCCCTCAGACATACATTCATATAAACTCCTATCCCTAATTGAATCGTGATTTGTTTAGCATCTCAACCAATTTGAATCGTCACATATTTTAATCGATTTTCAACCGGCTCGCGGTTAATCGTTACATCCCTATACTGTTCAAAAAGGTCAGTAATATTTTTTATTCTTTTAAAAGAAATTAATACTTTTATTCAGCATTAAATTTGACCGAAAGTGACAAAATGTTTTAGACCCCGTTCACACCTGTATTTAGCGTTGTCCACTTGTGATCGGATCGACAAAAATGCATCTTAATACCAGGTGTAAACAGAGCCTAAGACTTTTACACTGTTACAGAAAAAGGTATATAAATGCTCAAATAAATGCTGTTCTTTTAAACGTTCTATTCATTAAAGAATCCTGAAAACATGTTCCATGATTTCCATAAAAATATTAAGCATTACAACTCTATTCAACAATAATAAATGTTTCTTGAGCTCCAAATCAGCATATTAGGATGATTTCTGAAGGATCATGTGACACTGAAGGCTGGAGTAATGCCTGCTGGAAATTCAGCTCCGCCATCAATATTACTGTTTCTACCATATTTTTGATCAAATAATTGGAGACTTGGTGAGTGTAAGATAAAAAAAAAATTATTATACATGAATTATCATAGGGTATTATACATGTAATTTTGACACAATCCTATAAAATAAACTCTGTCCAGGTAATGAAGGTGTGTTTTACCTCTCTTTTAAGTGGTGATATCAGACTTCTGGATTTCATACCACTCCAGCTAAATCCTGTAAACCATCTAAACACCAAAAACCAATGAATCTTTGAATTAATTTAATCATGAATTAAATCACCATTGTACAATTTTTGTAGGTGATAATGACACAGATTTCAAAATTAGTGTTTATGGATGCTTTCAAAATGCTAAATGCAAATGTAATGTTTCCTAACATGATGGAAACCTGTCTGCAAGCAAACGCAAGACAGCGAAGTATCCACTGGACCTCTGGCTGTATAAGTACATCCAAGAGCATGCCCGAAATAGCCAGAAAATCCATGGAGGTCAGGATTACAATCTCCTCAAGTTTACTGATTCATTTGTTAAAACATTCTCAGAGTGACTCGGTGGAACAATAAATCAAGTGACCTAAGGTTATTTTGGCTGCCATCATTACGAAAAGCCAAGCATACTGTGGTTTTAGTTTTTAAAACATGAGAAATCTGAAAATCTTTCTGAAATGAAACACAAAAATGAGTATATCTGTAGTAATAATATGGGCATTCTGGCCAATATTTTGCATTAGGGATTCATACTTTATACGTATGAGATGAGTATTTCAAATAAGACTTACAAACTTATGAGGACATTCTTCAGTTAAGCAGCACCAGATTGTGACTGTTGTCCTCTCACCTGTGTTTTTTAATATCAGTTATTCCATTCTTCAAATTTCCCAGTCGCTCTGAAGGGTTTTGTCTTCATGGAAAAAAGAGGACAGCAAAATCATATTATTATATATAGCAGTGGGACCTGAAGAGTTTCAGAAAACAGGTGAAAGACATGAGAATGCGTTAAGAATGATCCATGATCATACCTGCACAGCTTTCGAATAAGGTCACCTGGCCTCTTGGTGATTTTTTTAGGGAAGTCCATCTTCTCAATTCCTTTCAGAATGAATGTGTATATAATCATCTGATCTGAGCCAGTAAAGGGGGGGCTTCAAGAACAATCAGATCACATACATTTCATTATAATAATCAGAACAATCTTTTACATGCATCTGTATTATGAAATGTGACCCTGGACCACAAAACCAGTCATAAGGTTCAATTTTACAAAATTGAGATTTATACATCATCTGAAAGCTGAATAAATAAGCTTTCCACTGATGTATGGTTTGTTAGGATAGGACAATATTTGGCCGAGATACAACTATTTGAAAATCTGGAATCTGAGGGTGCAAGAAAATCTAAATATTGAGAAAATAGCCTTTAAAGTTGTTCAAATGAAGTTCTTAGCAATGCATATTACTAATCAAAAATTAAGTTTTGATATATTTACAGTAGGAAATTTACAAAATATCTTCATGGAACATGATCTTTACTTAATATCCTAATGATTTTTGGCATAAAAGAAAAAACAATAATTTTGACCCATACAATGTATTTTTGGCTATTGCTACAAATATACCCCAGCGACTTAAGACTGGTTTTGTGGTCCAGGGTCACAAATGTCTTCCAACACACAGGGTTTATGACAAGAAACCTAGGTTGATGCACACCTTCCTGTAAGAAGTTCAAAAATCAGGATTCCAAGAGACCAGAAGTCCACACTGAGACCATGACCTTTATTGAGAATGATTTCAGGCGCAACATACTCTGGAGTCCCACAGAACGTCCAGGTCTTCTGGCCACACTTGAGCTTCTTAGCAAAGCCAAAATCCACCTGAGAAAATATGCTTTGAATTGATATCGCTGAACTGAGTTGACTGAGTGAAGTTTGCTGACTTAGCAGAGGAGCTTACCAACTTGACATATCCATCTGTGTCCAGCATGAGATTCTCAGGCTTCAGGTCTCTGTATATGATACCGTTGTTGTGGAGGTAGTCGAAGGCCTCTGTCACGCAGCCCACACAGAACTTGGCAGTGTACTCATCAAAACTCCCCCTGGATCAAAACAGGCACACTTTTAGCATATGCATTAAAACAGGGATGTGGACACTGACCACATGAAATGGAGCTAACCTGTCTCTAAGAAGACTCCAGATCTCGCCACCCAAACACGCCTCCAACAGCATGTACACATACTTGTTGTCTTTAAAAGTGCGGTACATTCTAAGTGAAAAACGAATAGATTAGATCTAAATAGAACAAATACGTTTTGAAATTCACGCCATGCTCAATATTACATCCACTGCCACTGGCTTTTCTCTTATATCTGGTTACGATCCTTCTCTCTTAATTCAATCATGTGAACACTAAGGGGATTCATGGGTATCTCTTTAAAAGCAATTAACAGTGAAATTCAATTCTCACTTTATTTTCAAGATGTTCCAATATTTCCTAAAACTCAGAAGACTAAACAGGCATTACTAAAACAGTCTGATCATACTAGATGAACATACTTGACAATGAAAGGAGAGTTTGTCTCAAGCAAGATCCTCCTCTCGGAGTAAATGTGCTCTTCCTGTCTGTTATCCACAATGTGTCGTTTCTTGATGCATTTCAGAGCAAACGTCTCGTTCTCATTCTTCGCCTTCACCTAGAGCAAAACTGGCATCATTATTGCTCATATGTGACCCTGGACCACAAAACCAGTCTTAAGTCGCTGGGGTATATTTGTAGCAATAGCCAAATTGGCCCTTATGACTGGTTTTGTGGTCCAGGGTCACATATTATTCCTTCACATTGTGTAAATGATTTTTTGTTTGAATGTTAAATAATGAAGAGAACGTGTGATTATTTTCAACAAGTTTCTAACCAATTCAACTCTGCCAAAGCCTCCAACTCCCAGCGTGGCAATAACCTCGAGGCAGCTGAAGGGTATGGTGGATGCAAAGTTGCTCTCTCTCTCTTTCAGCTCAATCATATCATGTGACACAGGTGTGGTGGGAGTAGTGCGGCTTCCTGACCTCCTAAAAGAATATCATTTAATATAATTAAATGAGCAAATTTGTGACATTGACCATTGTTCTGCTGATAAAGTAAAAAAAAAAAAAATGCAAACATTCAGAACAGAATAATTTTCATAAGTGGTCTCCGATTTTCGGACCTCACTGTATATCAGAATAAATAGGTGGATTATGTCTGCAATATGTGCATATGTACATGTTATGAATTATATGAATTATATTCTTCAATTCTGTCAATTGGAGATTGCTGGTAAATATCAGCCTATATTTAACTTAAAATTAATTAGTTGTTGAAACTAAAAAGTGTTTTTTATTTTGGTTTGCATGCTTTTTTTAAGTAAGGTCAACTAATTCGTTTTTACAGTGTAAGCTATACAAACTCGAAAACACTGTTTGACAGCACAATGGAGAGAGGCAAGAAGTCAAGAAGATTATCACCGTTTAAATAAAAAGAAACAGCTAGTACTTACTTAGCATTTCTTTTCTTATCGTCCCGTGCTAAAATTTCGACATAGCTCTGCAGGTACTTTTTAAGCTCATCAAAAGTTCCAACAGTCTGACTGAAGGTTCTGAGAAAAGACCGTTGTTACTGTCACTGAGTACCAAAAAAAATCATAATCAAGTGAATGATGATGATCTTGAAGTGGGAACTCACTCTCGATCAATGACAAGGCATTCCACTCCATCCTCATCTGTGATTATATTCGCAGACCTGACATCATCGCTGTGGTTTGACAAAGCAGGAACACATTCAATGAATTAGACATAAACTGATCTAAAATGGCTCCTAAAATGACAGTTTTATGGATTTGTTTGTAATAATATTCTGTTAGGTCATATACACGTTGACAAGACTAAGTTGCTCTCCGTTACAGCAGCAATACTAAAAGACCTCATTTACCAAAAGGTTATTGAAACAGGATTAAAATGGGGAAATGAGAATTGAGCTGGGGATTGATGAAGGACAGCACCTGATGAGGGCCTTCTCTCCGAAATAATCCCCTTTCCCCAAGGTGTTGATGATCTGAGGCTCTTCATGATCCTGTGTGCTCTGTGTGACTTTAATCTGGGCAGCACAGAAAGGCAGAGGTTACATTTCAAAATGTACAAACCATATCAGTTTAAGAGAACAACTGTATGTCTTATGATCGATATTTTTTTGTTTTTTACTTTGGATTTATGGTCCAAATCTATTATTAATTATATAAATTTCATGTGTGTTGAGATGATGCATCACATATAGACTGCATCCTTCAATTCTAGGCAGCATGTAATCAATAATAACGATACTGAAGAAATGGAGTTAGGTCTCTGAATTCTGATTCATTCTCAATTCTGTAAAATGATCCAGAAAACCACGGTGACCCTCTTGACCTTTCTGATCAACCACCAGTTTTTGTTGGCCGGCAGTAATGGCCTTATTCCCAACACGCTCTCGGACATGGTGGCGACAGGCTGACGAGAACCATCATTTCCGGTAATTAAATTCTCTCCCCCTCAGTAAAACATCTTCCTTCCCACCCCCATCTTGAGCGACAGTGGAGCAGAAATCAACAGGGGATCTGAGCCTGACTAGCTCATGCTAAACAGTTCCTGTTGCTTCCCAGTGGAGAGTCCTGTCTCTTAAACCCTTCAATGTCGAATTACTGATTTATCTGAACGCGTTCGACCTCCCACAGACCCAGATCAGCATCTGCAGTGAAGTCCATGAGGATTAGTGGGGTGGAAAAATGGTGCCTCGAGTGGGTTAAATCACTTTTGTTTTTTTGGTGGTTTAGCATTTAATGGTGTTAGGATATAGCATAACCTCTATACTTGGCAGTAATACATACTTGTATGTATTCAGTGGGCTTGATAAAGGGCTATTCACTTTATTATTTGTGACCCTGGACCACAAAATCAGTCTTAAGTCGCTGGGGTATATTTGTAGCAATAGCCAAAAACACATTGTATGGGTCAAAATTATCGATTTTTCTTTTATGCCAAAAATCATTAGGTTCCCCTTCATGGGAACTTCGAACTGCGTCCTCTAGGGGTCGCTATGGGGAACGCCTCGTCGTGACCCGTGTCTGAAGCATACATTGAAAAAACACCTTGCTAAGAACTTTATTTGGACAACTTTAAAGGCGATTCCAGATTTTCAAATAGTTGTATCTCAGCCAATTTTGTCCTATCCTAACAAACCATACATCAATGGAAAGCTTATTTATTCAGCTTTCAGATGATGTATAAATCTCAATTTAAAAAAATTGACCCTTGGTTTTGTGGTCCAAGGTCACATTTATTTATTATTACTAAAAGTTTCTGAATGATCATAGAACTAGAAAGGCACATCGAATATATTGAATACACTGAATATATACTGAATATCCACATTGAATATATTCATATCTCATTTTAAGTAAGCCCATGGAATGAGAAATAATTAAGCATAATACACTAAATATCATAAATACACAGAATCAAGCTTTGACAAAACTAATTGACAATAATATAATGCAAATTACCTTTCCGTTGGCAATTATGTAAAAGGTGTTTCCTTCTTCTCCCTCCCGGATGATGTAGTCTCCTTTATTATAATATTCCTGATCAGAAAACACAAGACAAACTCATTTAGCTATTGATTTTACCATCAAGCCAGTGCTGTCATATTCCCGGAGAGATCCCCCCGAGGGAGACAACAGGAAGGCCGCCATGTCTGCTTCCACAGCGATAGAAGTAGATACACCTCCTACATTTATTGCTTACATACTTGGGTCAAATTTCCTAAAATGTGTTTCATGCCAGTTTTCACATTAGAAGCAGTTAGAAATTGTACTGTTGACATTAAGATTAACACTTCACTAACCATTAAAGCAGTTCAACTTCTTTATAATAACTAACAATAACAAAAAGGAGCATTTTAGCATCTAAAAAGCATTTTAGAACTGGCTTCAAAACTCCAGAATAAGCTCAAATTTATTTTGATTATTTTTGTTGACTACAGCTTGAAAACTCTGTGCCTGAACTGGTATTCCTCCAATTCAATTGGAGACCAAGAATGTTTTCAAGTGATTTGCAAAAATAATGTTCTATTGACAGTGGAATGGAACGATTCAGCTGAAAACTGAGATCAAATCTTGTTTAGAATGTTTCAAATTAGACTGAAATCTGAGTTTTGCCAAACGTAATCATTTAACCATTCTAGAACATTGTAGTGGTGCGTCAGAGACATTCCAAGGCAATGTTTGAGTCTTCATTTCTCTGGTCCATGTTCTCAACTGATCTCCATCCCCAACTGTCTTTCTGACAGAGCTCTGCTGTTTCATTAGAGAAGCTGTCTAGGCATGCCACGCTCCTCTGAGGGTCTCAAAACATTTGTCTGCTCCCAGCGTCCCGTCTGCATTCCATTCCCCACTGTTTAATGATAGAGTTCCACATTATCTGCATGTTTCAGTCCAAAACATCTGGGCCACTATTGGGTTACATTGCTTCCTTACCCCTAGAGGAGGGAACATAATCAACTCCATCGGAGCGATTGAATAACGACATTCTCACATTCAACCCCAGGGGCCGACAATCGAGAAGAATGTCCTTGATGTTTGTTCAGCATGGAAGAACACGAGGAGGCTTATTTGACGTTGAGTTGACAAAGCCCACACTCTTTTAGAAAAACTCGCTTTAGCCCCTCATGGAGAAATGGAATAAATCAGTCAGCAGCCTATACTGGCTGCTACAAACATCTTTAACAAATCACTCGTCCCCTCGACTGAAGTGAACACTTCGCTCAGCCTTAGTCAAATAAGTATAGTAACAATATACTGGGTCAAGTGATGAAAGATGTAATATCGCCATTGTTTTTTCAAAATTGTCACTTTGGATCTAGACATTTGAAAACAAGTATTCACTACAGAAGGATACATAGGATCTGATGGGACTGGTTACTTACCACCTCTAAGCAGTCCACAATCTTAGTTAGTTTGTCCCCAGGCAGACTGGCAAGAAGTGAAACACTAAAAATAAAATAATAAAGTAAAATAAAATAAAATAATCAAAAGGTTAGGATAGTTGCAAGAGACAAGCAATGAGGCATAATTTGATTTTCTAAATATAACTTTTGCCATTTATGTATTTAACTAACCATTCAATTTCAATGCTATGTTTATCTGTCTTAAAACATTTTGGTTTAAATGTTGATCTATGATTGTCATATGACTAAACTGATACAGTCAATTTAAGACTGCCCCTTTGACTTGGATTGAACTGATGGTTATGGAGAACAGTTGTGTTAATTGAATCTTATATAAGATAATATCTCTCAATCTTTTCTTATTAGAATGTCTTCAAGAGCCCTCAAATTGAATTATTGTATTTTCCTCCTTTCATGTGTGCTATTTAAACTGATAGTTATATAAGCAAGGTCGCAGAGGTCACTTCAACCAGATCGTGAAGAAACTGACCTTCATTATCAATAGCATGGCTAATGCCACCAAAAAAATCCTCGCTATGCTTTATTTGCTTGTTTGATCTCCACAGCGTTTCATGTAAAAATCACTTTTTGATGTTTTTTTGAGGCCCAGCTAATGCTTGGCTACACATTATGTGGTAGGATACCACAGTAAACAGCGGGAGGGATGAGCAGTTTGGATTACCTCCTCAGGAAGTTGCAGTATTGCTCTTGTCGAGCCTCGGCAGTCATCCGCATGATGTTGTGAAAGACTTCTCGATCGAGGGCCCATGTCTTCACATTGCTGGCAGCTGTGATCATAACAAAACAGCAGGTAAGGGAAATACCAGAAGCTTCCTCGTTCCTCGCGGAGTGGCATCCATTTAAACTTCAGTGATTCAGTAACCAGGAAACAACAGCTGCTTCCAATAGGGCCATTAGGAAATGATTACAATTTTATTGTGGTGACTTGGGTAGAGGTAAAAAAAAAGTCTACTATATTTTGAGTATCAAACTAACTACAATATAAGTGCAAACAACATTCTCTCTAACAGTCATTTAGTTAGTTTATATACATACATATATATATATATATATATATATATATATATATATAAGACTCAGTTTTCACGAGACTCACCGGCGTATGCACAACGCTGAACTCATACGTCATGCTCCCGGAGCTGCTTCCGTGTACAACTGTTGGCGCAAGCTACATTAAAGTGATTATTACATTTTGAATATGGATATTTATCTTACAAAAACGCATCGATTCGCTACAGGAGGCCTTTGTTCACCCCCCGGAGCCGTGTGAGACCATTTTTATGGATGGGCCCTTTTTATTTCACTTCTTTTGGACTGAAGCACTGCAACACCCGCTGACTGCAATGATAGAGCTTGGAATAGCCAGGACAATTTTTTATATAACTCAGACTGGATTCGTCTGAAAGAAGAAAGTCATATACACCTAGGATGCCTCGGGGGTGAGTAAAACACAGCCTAATTTTCATTTTTGGGTGAACTAACCCTTTAAATAGGATAATCTTGTACCATATATTGGTATAAAAATACAAAGATTAAGAAAATATATTCCATTAATTGAAATTAACAACAAAGTGCATTAAACTTTACAAACTGGGGTACTGTAGGGGATTTGTGAGTTTAATGAAAAGTTCACAATTAATTAAATCATAAAAATGTAAAATTTAAATAAATCATTTTAAAATAACATAAATCGAAATAAAAAACTTCTGAAAAAAAATATTTTATTTGTTTTCCTGCATGTTATGTGACCATTAACCAATGTCAGAGAACCATGAACATGCAAATTGATACTTTATTATTAAATATTTATTTTAAAATCTCAGGGCTACTTCAAGTAAATGTATAGGTGAAAGATGTTCAGATGACAAAAAAGTTTGGGAATTCCTGGATTACATGTAAATAAGAAATAATGTGAATTTGTGCATTTTAATGTGTTTGAAAGACAAGTCTTCCAAAGACATTGTAATAGATGGTTAAATAACCTACTGAGTGATCATTCAAATAAACATTAATGTGTTCATCAGTAGGTGATGCAATGTTGAAACACCTGAAATTATTTTTGTAAATTTAGTGGTCAAATGCTGTGTAGCCACCTGACTGGTCTTTGTGTGAATGTCCACAAAACAGGAAGACTTTCTGAGTGTATATAAGTGGTAGGCTATTTTAAAAAGGAACAATTAAAAGATGAAAAAGAGGAATTTGGGAGAATAAATAAATTATGAATAATTTATTGCTATTTTGTGAATAATATGTAATCATGTAATAAATAAACAAGTTACTGTAGTCTGATTACGAGTATTTTGAAATGTAATTTAATCTAATAAATACTTCCTTTTTGGAATCTGATTATGTAATCCAGATTACATGCAATCAGTTACTACCCAGCTCTGTTTATTCAAGATGGACTAATTGGACAGTTCACGCTATGAGGTGCACCAGTTGTTTCATTTTCAGTGTTACAGTAGAAACAAGATAATGAATCTCAGCATGGTGTTTTGCAGGCAGATTAGACCAACATAAGCCTCCCAACATAATGAGCACCTACGCGCAAGGTCTCCCATAAACTTAGCATATGAAAAAAAACAGACTAATTACCAACATGAAAAATTGGCACATCTATTTATTTAGCTCTTTGAGGATGCTTGATACTATAATGAATATTCCTGTTCAAATACAGACACATACAGTACACAGCACGTACACATAACATGACCACCTAAAGCATTAGAGTTCACAAACATAAACCACATTTAATCCTTATGATTTTAGCGAATAGTTATTAACCAATCCCTAATTCACACAAATCCGACTGTTAGGCCAGAAACACAGCCTCAAGCGCTTAGTCAGTCGGCGCATTTTGCAGCGCATTGATTTTGCTTACGAAGTCGATCTTGTGCAGCTGAAAGCTAATAACCGAATGCAAGTGCGGATATTGGCGAAGCGTAGCGAGTAGTGACTGCATTCGTGTATTTGCGTGAAGTATGTTTCTGGCTTTAGTACCACCGTTCCAAGAGCACCAGGACTTTTTACTGTTGGTATCATTCCGCTTATTCGTGTTTGTGCATTCAAAACTGTCACAGTCTGTGTGGTGAGGATTTACAGTGACTTTTACAAATGACCGTCTTTATCAAAAGGGTCTGGCTGCAGCCTGGCGCTTGCACTCTCAGACTTGCATTCTCAGACTTGCACTCTCAGACACTTGCACTTCCGCTAGCGACGTCACTTGCAGTCTTTTTTATTTTTTATTTTGTTCTATTTATTGATTACTTTTTGTTTGAATCTCTCAACATTTTACAACAGTAGCCAGGTGGTGAAGACAAGAAAAAATAAACTAAATTACGATGTCACTTGCAATCGCCACTTGCACTCTCCGATACCTGCGACGTCACTTGCAATCGACACAAATTGTGCGTGTTGCCAATGGAAACAAGACGCTGTGGTGGTGATTAAACGATTAAAACTAATTTAGTACTATAACATACAGGGTCCTGCAAGAAAAAGACAAGACCCGCAAATCC